AATTGGTGAGGATTACAGGAATTGGTGAGGTAGGAATTTTATCTAGCAAACAGCAAGAATCAGCCACTAGTTACTAAACAACTTAGAACAGTGATAAGTATACATTTTTACACAACAGAAAACACAAAATTTACATTTATAATATACAATGTGAGTTGATCCATTACATTAACAGCCTGGCAGCAGTCTCCAAAACCAACACAATGTTGATGTCCTAAAAGCAGACAAAGGAGGTACCTGCAGCATACTGGGGGAGGAATGCTGTTTTTTCGTTAATGAATCAGGTATCCTCATGGACAAGGTAAAAAAGATTAGTGATTATGTTGACTAAAAACAAAGAGGAATGGCCCAATCATCTGCCCCCTCTTGGTGGCAGTCAATCCTTGGCTCCTGGGCCCCTGTCATCTTTCCCTTCCTAGGTCCCCTCACCATGATCATTTTCTTGTTGGTCATAGCACCCTGTCTGTTTGTTTGCAGAAACAGGGATTGAACTCAGCCCCTTGTGTTTGCCAGGCACGCATTTATTCTACTGAGCCATCTCCCTGGCTCCATAGCACCCTGTCTTTTAAAACTTTTTTTCTTCAGATTTCTTGAATCCAGGATATAGGGCTTTACCACTGCAGAGCTCTACCCCTAGTCCAACCCAATAAAAACCTGTCCCCCAGCTTCCTCCTTAGAGGGTCCTTGCAATCTCCAGTGGTTGTCTCTCTCCCACAACAAAGGCTCCTTTTTACCCCTGGCAGGAGGCTGAGGTAGGAGGATCACTGCAAGTGAGACAAGCCTCGGCTACAAAGTGAGCTCAAGGTCAGCCTGAACTGCATAGTGAGACCCTGTCTCAAAAAGGCAAAAAAAAAAAAAATCTTTTTCATCTCTGTCAGTGTCTCTCAAAAACACCAAAACCGGGCCCGGGGAGATGGCTCAATAGAATAAGCATTTTCCTGGCAAGCACAAGGACCTGGGTTCAATCCCCGTTTCCTCCAAAACAAACAAACAAACAAAAAACATCAAAACCTCACAGGTGTGACAATTGAAGTAAAGATTTTTTTTTTTTTTGGTAGGGTTCTGTTAGTATTTTTATTGTAGTTCATATAAAAATGTATTTTTTAGACTTGGTACACAAAAACTCGTTGAAAAATTTGATGCTTTTTGGGGTCTGGAAATATAGCTCAGTAGAATAAGCGCTTGCCTGAAGTTCAATCTCCGGTCCTGCCAAAAAAAACAAAAA